CATTATTATTATTATTATTATTATTATTATTATTATTAAGTACCAGAGATGGCGTCATCCAGGCGGTCATGTTGAACTGAAACCTGTAACCACCGCTAAGGCCTCGTGGCCTCATGCTGTTGCGATCATGTGCAGAGTCACGGAAGGCGTAAGTGGGGATGATTGAGCGGGAGTATGAACAAAGCGGATAATTGGTAACGGAAATCACGGAAACACGGTGTAAAGCGAGACCCTAGAGACTCACCGGTGTCGTTGTTGTGGAATCGAGCATAATGGTTCCTTGAAAGAGGTAAATGATAGTACGAGAAATGGTTAAATTCTAACGAAAGGTTCAGAAGATTGGAAGGAACATGCCATGGAGGCACCTGGGGTCAGGTAAAAGGCTTGTTCATATCTGCAGCCCGTGGAATGAGCCGGCGAGATGGCACGGTCGAGAGAAGGAATGGAATAGTTGTTGGTGTGCTATCAAACTGGGTATGGCGATGCCGTGCCATCATTGACTTTCGGTTGTTGGACAGCCCCGTAACGGACGTCACGCTTAAGATCATTGTGCTGGGATGGACGATCCTTTGAGCAGCGGGATTCTTTTGAGGCTGGCCGAGGAAGCGAGGTGGAGCCAAGTCCATTTGGGATCGCAGGTTTTTTGGTCCTTTTGGGGATCCTGGGACAGTAGGTGGATGGTGTGCTTTGTTTGATCGGCTAAGTTGGCTTTGGTGTGGAACAACCATAATTATGACGAGGGCAGCTATAGCTTCGCACGCCGATGTAAGCCATGCGCATCATAGAATATCCAGGATATTCCACCTGTGTTTTTACGAATTTCTTTTTTTAACAGACGGTAGACCATTCCCACATTTTTCATTTTCCCATCGTCTGTAGACAAATATTTGCTAGTTAAATAACATAACCTTTTAACAGAAGACCATTCCCACATTTTTCATTTTCCCATCGTCTGTAGACAAATCTTTGCTAGTTAAATAACATAACCGGCACAAGTCCGGCCCAGCAGCAACAAACGGAAAACAACGTTGCTCTTTTAGTGAGTGTTTGATTCAAAGGTCATACTCAAATCCACCAGCAATGGGCGAAGCACTCGTGCTGCTGGAACATGACGGGCATTCGAATTACTACGAAAGGAAAGCCAATGAATGCTGGTTACAAAGCGGACGCACGACCGAAATAACCGACAATAGGATAAGAAGACCAAAATGCTGCTATCGCTGCACAATAAATTATTTTACCTGTAAGCAACCGCTGATTTTTATGAAGAAACCTGGCAAGAAGGTTAAATTATCGAAAGCAACCCCAGAATGTCTGAAGCCCCGAAACTCCACCAAAATCTCAATAGCAAGGCTGATAAGCATCCAATCGAGCATTCAAGCAAACTCAGCAAAGCCTGGATGGATGAAGGTAAAAATTACAAGAGCGGGGGGCCCCTTGGAAGTGTTGCACTTGCACACACACGCTTGCTCGGAATAAGCCTGTCGTGATCCTTATCGGTGAGTGTTTTTCCGGCACTGGGCATCTGAACGGAAACACCAGTCAAATGTAACAAGACCCTACGTCTATTGCTTGCCTGATTCTTCTTTCGAGCTGTGCCACTGCTCTTCATGGCAGCCTGGGTGAGCTGTATCTTTAACTGCTCTTCGAAAAGTAATGGTTGCGGTTATTAAACAATGAAGCTTAGTAACGTACCGGGTCAGAATTACTTCCTATAGTTGAAACAAACCTCATATATTCCTGCATTGTCGTCTCTGCGTGAAAAAATTGTCGTCACATTTTTAATCGACCCACTTTTCATTTGTTCCCCTATAGGAAACGTATGACGTTCTTGTATCACTCAGCGGACGTCACGGAATTCAAATACACTTCTCCTTTTGCGTTACCGTTACCGAATTTCCTGTCTGTAATGAAGCTGAGTTTCGTTCCGGTGGTGTGGTAGTTACCCGAGTTGGGTTCTGAATTTCTTAACTGCGCCCCATTTTGCGCGCTGTTTCGCACAGAGGTTTCCTTACTAAAGCACATTTCAATCATGAGTTTTGAACTGTCTTTCTTATTTCCCGCATGAAAACATTTTAGATTGCACCAAACTTATGCACGCCTACCGCTGATGAGAAAATGGTATCTGATGGTTTTCTTGTCCAGCGGTCATTTCAAAAGTAAATTGTGTTGTTTACGAGCTAAACTATATGCACTCTCCGTGAATTTTTATGGTACTTGATCATGCTGATTAATGTTTGGATTTGAGTCTGTTCCTAGACTTTGGCGTTTAAATTCCCCCTTAAATCTTCTGTCGTTCCAGCGGTTTCGTGAGGCTTGGTCGTCTATACATGAAGCCACAATAGCGGCTTTTTCTTCATAGTGCAGTGGCATCGGCCTCCGCGAATTGTTTAGAGTCGCAAACGGCTTCAGTTACTTAACCAAGATAGCCCAAATTGCTCGATTTTTCAAGGTCTTTGTGTGGTCAGTCCGAAAATTGCCTCAATAACGATACCAGACAAATATTATCTGCAAGGCAGTAAATTTGGTCGGAGATATGTGGTGGATTGTTGAGTGTCAGTGGTAAAGTTCTCAGCCTTTTTTCATTTAATTTGAGGGTTATCTTTGGCCTGCATTCTCAGCATATCAAAGCCCAAAAGGTACAGCCATCAGTCAGTTTTCGGCTCAAATCGACCATACACACCATCCTAACTTTAAAGTTTGGTCCCCATAGTCATTCATTCTGCTTGCCATTCTCGGACACCGGCTCTCTTATACCACCTCCGCTGAAAAACGCTAGGACTTGAACCATTGCGTTCCAACCAGATTACGTTAAATCATCCTCATTTAGGGGGCAGAGCAGAGGTTGACCCGCGAGTTTTCCTCCTTGTTAAAAATATCCGGAACGTCACCATTTTTTCGTATGTCCCTAAACAAGCAAGCTCATTGACTCTAAAATAGCGTACATTGCCGTAGCTTTGGGTAGTCATTGGATGTCGTCTTTATTCGTGATTCTGCTGAAACCATATCGGAGACTCGAATATTCCTTTTTATACTCTACAAGTCGTGCTCAAAACTCTTTTCAGTGCTCATGTCCTGTGTTCCTCCTTCGCCGGATTTGCTAGTTTTCGTCAGTCGCATCTATTAGATTCCACCATCAGGTATCGCGCTTTTTTACGTTTGTTTCCAAATGATGCCACAGAAATTTATTCTCTCCTAAATAAACGAAGAGAATCTGTATTTTCTCCCGAATTCCTGGTAAAATAGCAGACGGTTCGTATAAACTAACAATATCTACACATATTCCTTCACACTCCAATTACCATGCTCATTCGCGCATAACAGTATGATGCACTGTGGCTTCTCGGGATGCAGTAGGCCTGCGCAGCATCGCCGCTGCGTCGCTTGGGAGCTTGGCACGGTTGTCTTTTTCATACGCTTCCTAGGAACCTATAATGAGAGCCACACCCTTGTCTTATTATGGACCGCAGTTGTTTTTTCTTGCTGATCTAACTGATTTCATTACATGAGTGGGCCACCTAAGCCAAACTAATCGAAAGTCACTTTAGACCCCGGCGAAATTCGTTCTAAAAGCTGATGCACCCTTCCCAAGTTTGTCTGCGCCTTAGAGGCAAAAACTACACACATAAAACACGACGGCATGTTGCTCTTTTATTGAGTTTTTGATTCAAAGGTCATACTCAAAACCACCAGCAATGGGCGAAGCACTCGTGCTGCTGGAACATGACGGGCATTCGAATTACTACGAAAGTAAAGCCAATGAATGCTGGTTACAAAGCGGACGCACGACCGAAATAACCGACAATAGGATAAGAAGACCAAAATGCTGCTATCGCTGCACAATAAATTATTTTACCTGTAAGCAACCGCTGATTTTTATGAAGAAACCTGGCAAGAAGGTTAAATTATCGAAAGCAACCCCAGAATGTCTGAAGCCCCGAAACTCCACCAAAATCTCAATAGCAAGGCTGATAAGCATCCAATCGAGCATTCAAGCAACTCAGCAAAAGCCTGGATGGATGAAGGTAAAAATTACAAGAGCGGGGGGCCCCTTGGAAGTGTTGCACTTGCACACACACGCTTGCTCGCAATAAGCCTGTCGTGATCCTTATCGGTGAGTGTTTTTCCGGCACTGGGCATCTGAACGGAAACACCAGTCAAATGTAACAAGACCCTACGTCTATTGCTTGCCTGATTCTTCTTTCGAGCTGTGCCACTGCTCTTCATGGCAGCCTGGGTGAGCTGTATCTTTAACTGCTCTTCGAAAAGTAATGGTTGCGGTTATTAAACAATGAAGCTTAGTAACGTACCGGGTCAGAATTACTTCCTATAGTTGAAACAAACCTCATATATTCCTGCATTGTCGTCTCTGCGTGAAAAAATTGTCGTCACATTTTTAATCGACCCACTTTTCATTTGTTCCCCTGTAGGAAACGTATGACGTTCTTGTATCACTCAGCGGACGTCACGGAATTCAAATACACTTCTCCTTTTGCGTTACCGTTACCGAATTTCCTGTCTGTAATGAAGCTGAGTTTCGTTCCGGTGGTGTGGTAGTTACCCGAGTTGGGTTCTGAATTTCTTAACTGCGCCCCATTTTGCGCGCTGTTTCGCACAGAGGTTTCCTTACTAAAGCACATTTCAATCATGAGTTTTGAACTGTCTTTCTTATTTCCCGCATGAAAACATTTTAGATTGCACCAAACTTATGCACGCCTACCGCTGATGAGAAAATGGTATCTGATGGTTTTCTTGTCCAGCGGTCATTTCAAAAGTAAATTGTGTTGTTTACGAGCTAAACTATATGCACTCTCCGTGAATTTTTATGGTACTTGATCATGCTGATTAATGTTTGGATTTGAGTCTGTTCCTAGACTTTGGCGTTTAAATTCCCCCTTAAATCTTCTGTCGTTCCAGCGGTTTCGTGAGGCTTGGTCGTCTATACATGAAGCCACAATAGCGGCTTTTTCTTCATAGTGCAGTGGCATCGGCCTCCGCGAATTGTTTAGAGTCGCAAACGGCTTCAGTTACTTAACCAAGATAGCCCAAATTGCTCGATTTTTCAAGGTCTTTGTGTGGTCAGTCCGAAAATTGCCTCAATAACGATACCAGACAAATATTATCTGCAAGGCAGTAAATTTGGTCGGAGGTATGTGGTGGATTGTTGAGTGTCAGTGGTAAAGTTCTCAGCCTTTTTTCATTTAATTTGAGGGTTATCTTTGGCCTGCATTCTCAGCATATCAAAGCCCAAAAGGTACAGCCATCAGTCAG